GATGATCCGCCCAGGAGGTCCTCCACGATGTACAAGATGGTCTGCCAGTCCCACTGCTCCTCTTGGTTGTTTTCATTCTGAAGAAAGAAGTAGACATTTTTAAGTATTTCATTAACAAAGTTACTACATGTTATGCTGAGCACTAATGGTGTTAAGTATATAGGCGTCAGACACACTAAGTTTATAACAATCATGAATTATGGTCTCCTCAGAACAGTGGGAATGTCAGAAAGGATTTATAACTTACCAGGAGATTTGAGAAGCAGGCATCGACAAGGTCCGTGATATTCTTTGGGTTTTGCTGTAGGTTGTGGTATTTCTCTCTGCAGATGTTGTCCAGGATATACTTTCTGATGTCTGCGGTTTTGGATTTAATCTTGTTCAAGTATGAACCGAAGAAGGGAATAAGGGATGGCAAGAAGTCTGTGGGATGCCCGTTGTTGATATCATTGAAAATGAAATCGAAATTCTTTACAAGTTCTTGGAATTTCGCCTCGTTGTAATCAAACTTCTTGGAGCACATGTAGCCACAGAAGATGTTCATAGCACAGTACGATAACAATTCCTTGGCATTGAATGGTGTATTCAGTTTCTGGTCAATCTGAAGGGGAGAAATAAAGACAAATTTAGTTTTTGTAATTGTTTTAGATTTACTAACAAATCAAGACAGTTTCTCAGCCAACATCTTATTAGTCATTAAGAGCATTGTGGAATACTAACCTCTTTTGTGAGCACGGGCATTTCGGAAGTCACATTTTCTTCAAAGGTCTTGAAGCAGGTATCGTTCCCGCGGAACATAAGGAAGGAGCGAGCCAGAGTTATGCGTTTCTTCTGGTGCTGACTCCAGTCACAGAGAGCAAGAGCTGTTGGAGAAAGAAGAACTTTTGTTATCAACAATGTTCACACTATTTTCTTGGAGGGTTCAAAATACGTGGTAAATTATCGACTATTAGAGCTTCTGAAAATACTTAGGATACTTTTCTCATATATTATAAAGCTGTTACAAAGTGATGGATGTAATAATACCCTAAGTCAAGAGGTTCATATTGTAATTCCAGTCCACTGTGAAAGAAGACAATCCTAAAGGAACTGCATGTATTGTATACTTAATTTTTGGTTGCAATAACTGGTTTAGTGAAATCGTATCAAGTGTCTTTAATAAAAAAACAATTGAAAACTTCACCGCTATTGCTGAAGGGAGAAAGGCCCAAACGTTTAAGTCTGAAGTTTGTCAATAAAACGGAAATTGGTAAAATAGAAAATAACAGTCACGTTCAAATGCCTCGCAAACTCGTATATAACAGGTATTGTCTAAGAATAGCCGGTGCGGTTATAGGGCCGTGACGCATCGCCCATCTCCCGCCCATCTCTCACAGCTGTATCGCACCGAGACATCTCTCCCCTCCCTCTGACCTTGAGTCTCATTACCAATGTCACCATACCGGATCCCCGGTAACGATGGTCCTCGAGAATCTCCCCGCCCCTTGTCCTTGGGAGGTAGGGGGAGGGGGTCTTGCTCCCTTAATCCCCTATCATTTCCCCCACTTCACTTGTCCGTCTGTCTGTCCTTCTGCGTAACCCAGCTCACCTAGGCACTCCATGCGGCAGCCCGCCATGAGTCCTTTGTCCCGTCTACTTAGTTTTACGACACATGCTATGTATCGTGTCGTATATGAAATCCGCCGACGGGACAATGGGGGAGGGGGGAGGCTGATTTAATCTTAATGTGAAATACCTTAAAAAACAAAACAATCGGGTCGCTTAACTAGTTAGTAAGTTTCTTTCAATTCTAGTTATCTTTTGCACTGAAAGGTGGTTTTCGTCGGTGTATAAATGCTCACTAAAACTCAAGTCAACTGAGTAAGATTTATCCGTTTTAAATTTTGAGGCGAGGCTGAGAGGAGTCAGAGGTGTGCTTGTTGCTAGGAAGCCCCACCTCACCCCCACCTCACCCCCTTTCTCCCGTCTCCTCCAACGTGTTTCTTGAACAGCATGGACTGGTGGTGCATGAGGACCTCCCAGTAACCGGTAATGTACTTCATGTTTGAATACTTTTTTCACTTCCTATGAGGTGAAATCAGTTTGAATAATCTTCACAGGACAACTAGAAAAATTTGACACTTGTTATACATTGATATCAGTTTTCCTTAATATGCTTATACTCACATAATGAAAAACGAGTTTGTTTGAACGGATTGCGTTTGCCTTTTGTGTAAAAAAAACCAAGTTAAATATAGTTCTCGCCGTAATGCAAAATTATTTTGTTTGAGCGGGTTTGTATTTACTTAAAATATGATCAGATTTTAATTGATATAAAACTGGAGAATTAAAAGTGAAAAATGCTCAACTAAATTAGACAAACAAAAATTGAAGATCTGGGGGGAGTGATAAAGGCGGCTTGTAGACACTAGACGACCTCGAGACTAAGGCGTTCCCGTAGCCATTCATTGTCTGGCAGTGTCTGGAGTGAGACCTTGATAATTTTGTTCTTGCTATTACCATCTTCATATTGGGCAACCATCTTTTTAATTATAGAAATGGTTCTCGTGAAAATATGGTATTAATTGATGAAGGATTAAAATCATCTGGTTTAATATGAGTTCACTCTCTTCGCCATCGTCTCATACATCTTTACTGTTGTCACGGATCGTTCGTGACTTACACCCAGCCTCGGCACTACTGGAGGAGCACCATTACAGATAAAAATAGCTGAAATGTCTGTAACGACACGCATCTGATAACGGTGGACCAGACAAAGTTGAGGTCACCTTGAGGTGTAGGAGCAACCCCCCGCCCTCCCTCCCGCGCCCTGCACCTGCACACTTACACACCTGGCGACACATTTCCCAAGACTTTATTTTGCTTCCCACAACCGCTTTATGATGCCGGGTGTTGATTCTGAATATTTCTCCAACTTGCTTAAATTTATTCTTGTGCTGAATTAAAGACACTTAATTCATCCGATATAACGACTGAATTAAGGTGGGGGAAATGGTTTATATTGCTATAGATCTAATTGTTGTTTTTAATCTACCCATATGAAAGAATGATTATATTTATTGTGGTTTCACCTGTGGATGGACTTGATTGAAAATTAAGTGGATTAAATTAGCAGGTCATGAGATAGAGTCATCTGGCAGGGAAGGAAGCCAAGGTCATCCGCTCCGGCCCACCTGTACCTCACACACAAATACTTCCCGGCGTTGAAAGCGATAGTGATCAATGTAAGCGTCTAACACATTATTACGATTTGAGTTAATAGTTAAACTAAACAGTATATATGGACTTAGTTTAAGATTCATGCTATATTGAGGCTGTTAGATTAAATTGGGTATCTCTTAGCGGGACTATTATAGAAGTACCTTAAGAGAATGACACGGATATCTGAGAGAGTACCTGTATGAAACCCTGTGTAATAAGGGACTATAAAGCAACCGTACCTTATTTTATGCTAAATGTATTGTAACTACAGGGACTAAAATGTATCACGCCAGTGTAAACAAAAACAGTGACCGCTGATGTGGCAACACCTCAAAATCAGGTTTTGCCCCGCCTCTCATTGAAACTTTACACTCAACGTTGTACAAATGTTCGTCCAAGTATCTATTTAGGTGAAACATTTTACCTTTAAATGAATTATGTATGATATTTAAAAACAAACCAGATATCCTTTCGATTTTAAGTGTTCATTGAGATATGCAGTTGGTTGAAGCGAACAAGAGACATGATTTAATATCTTATAGGTAAGTTGTGTATATTGAGGCAAACTCACTGTGAGCGTTAGGATGTGGGGGGCTGACTTGAGTAACGGTGTCAAGCCGGTGATTGGACTACCTGATTATTTAAAAGAAAGTGAAATCCATATAACAGTTAAACTCCGAAATCATCTATTGACTTCCTCTCTCCAAGCAGTTCACAAGTCACTTAGTTTAGAGAACACTACACTGATGAGAGCCATGCATGAGCAACAAACCGTAGCTCGTGGTGTTCAAGGTCAAGGGTACCGACAGATTGAGACAAAAACAAATCTGGTATTTCCGAAACACTTCCTGTAAATAGTTGAGGGGAAGAGTTAGCGCTGTTGCCTAGTTATTGAACAAAAGAAAGAGAACGGGAAACTTTTATGCTAATCACACTCTTCTGACGCAGAGTAGCATAATGTGACTTTGTCTTTTAGCTCTTTAAGCAGTCTGGTTGGTGGAGGATATTGCACTTAACTACAACAAACCGTTAGCAAGGATAAATTATGCCGTCAACAGGGTTTATAAGTTTGGATAAAAGAGAATATACTTACAAAGTTGGCGGTTGCCACCGAAGTATAATCCGAATCGTGGGATGTCCGGGCGAGCGTCGAACTGGCTAGCCTTGGTGATGAGAACTTCCTTGATCGTCTCGTATGTGCCGACGACTACGGAGGGGCAACTGCCCATTAAGAGAGAGTAGACTGGTCCATACTTGTTTCCTAGAGCAGTGAAGCCTTCATAAGGACAGGCATCATATTTAAAAAGGTTATGCAAGTTGCCGATAAAGGGTATTGGAGTCGGTCCGGGTGGTGATGATGGTCTCGCGATCTCCAGGTCGTCACTACTCTGTGGTTTTAAAGATGTTTGGTCAAACTGCTGCTGCTTTCTTCGTCGCCGAATGGTCTCTTGTACGGCCACAGCCACCAAAACCATCATCATCAACAAGATAGTTGCGGGAGCCAAAACGAAGACCATCTTTGCGAGCAGTTCTGAACCTGAGCAGTGACTGACAATGTTCCTCGGGTTTCCTGCCATATTTATACACAACACACGGCTACGGTGTTAAACAAGGCGGTGTCTAAGGGTACCTTATGAAGTTCTGTTATAAAGGGGTGGGGAGGGGGAGGTGAACTGTGCGTCGTTGATTGGCCAGCGGAGCTAGTAGGCGGGGACTAAAAGAAGACGTCCTGGCCGACCCCAGCAGGTAACACTCAGAGGAGGGCCGCGGCGTCACTTACACGCCGCGGCCAGCCTCAGGTGAGTCCACCACTAGTCTAACTTGGATTCATCATCATCGACCAAATATTATTAATTATTATTTTCTGTCATTTAATACTACCATACATATTGTTTACTACCTCTACCACCCCCGCCCCCCACCTGTGACGTCCATCCTGTGCTCCCTTACTCTAGTTTTCTTTTCCTCATTCCGTTGTAGATGGGGATGAGCACACACACTCACCTCCCATTGTAATTTTGACCTCGGTGAATGAAAATTTATGTTCTTATAAATAGTTCTTATCAACATGGATATTTCACACCGTACACGATAAGCTTGTTTATCTTGGCTTACGTCCTCGTTTTAACTTGGCTCACCAGCGTCAATCCCATCAAAGCAATGCCCATGGTTCTGTTGCGTACTGAACATTTCTAAAGCAGCAACAGCGTGTCCACAGTATCGTTTGAGTGTACTCTGTTGTTTTATTTTTGTATTTGATATATTTTTCCAGGACATATAAAGTTAAACTTTTGTTGACGTCTCCCCAGATGTTGTGTTGATATAACGATTATTGGACTCTGGTTACTAACATCTGTTCCCAGTACCTTTTGTTATTACACCATTAAATTATGCTTAACATACTGGTAAAGAGATATGTCAACTAAGAGCCGCGTGAATGATTACTGCCCATTAGTCTTGGTATTATTCATCCTTAGAGGGCAGCATATATAGATCCTACATCATATAGTCATACAGTTTTATTAAAAAAAAGTAGTGCACGAAGTAAATTATTTCATCCAGTATGATAGACCGTTCATTAAATACTCTGTTGTATAGGTACGGTGCCCTTAATATTTGCAGCGTTTTAGATAGCTTGAAATTACGCCTGAGGCTTCTCTTGTTATTTACTATCAACATTGAGTTTTAAATACACGCCATAGCCGCGCGCGTCAGATTAATAGGAGGCGCGATTTTTGCTGACAAAAGGTAGTCATATAGCCCTTAACTTACCCTTTTACATATAACTCATGCCATATTATTGTAAACACACACACACACACACACACATGGGCAGTATTTCTATATGCAACCATACGCACTCTAAGACACGAATAATTTCCGTACATAAATCTGCACACATACACATTTGCATGTCGGTGTGTACATACAAGCTAAAACATATACGCCTGTACATACATACTGTACACAATAGCACAAAAACATTCACTTACACAAAAATGCTTACACACTCATAGACTAACACTCACGCGCAAGCAAACACACTCCATACAAACGTAACAAACATGCATGCACACATGTAAATTTAGAAAGGTAACATACAAGCATACGCTCGTATACACACACACACACACATCCGCTCTAATGGTAACGCGGACCGTTACCATAGCAGGTAATAACTAAATATCGAAAGAGTGATGCTGTCATCATTTTCTGTAAACACCGAAAACTGTGTGTTGTCATGGCAACACTATAAATTTTGGCATGATTTGCAACAATGGGTTATCATATGAAGTTTGTCACATGTTGATTAAGTCTATCATGTTTGGTGTTCATCCTCAAGTCTGTTCTTAAGATATTCCTGGAAGGACACACAAACATGGCCGAGTACAGTACCCCGCCGCTCGGGGTACCAAGAGAAGTTATGGGGAAGGTTTGTTTAGTAGTGGAAATAAATCTACGGTCATCGCTGCTCACATTTCACCCACTCTTCTGTTATAATTTTAAATTGCCTTCAGATCTTTGGCCATTTGCAATGAGTATATTACTCGGTTCGGTGCCCTCGGTAATGATTCATGAAGCTTGCTGGTGAAAACCGTTGGTTAGTCAATATTTTTTGCTATTTAGTCCGGCAGCCGAGTGCTCATCATTCGCTTAAAATAACAGTGAATCCCTCAAATGCATGTCAACTTAAGTCAAAATATGATCTCTGTGACTTAAGGTAAAAGAGGTTGAATCATAATTAATATTTACTGTAGCGCACTTATATTATCGTGGAATAAGACGCTGTACTCAACCATGACCAAAATTCCATTCTTGTCCATTTAGTTCACCCCTGAGCGTCCTGTTTTATGTACACACGAAGGCGGGTAAAAAAAGCTCATTTTCTCCAACTGTCGAAAGGTTTACAGATATCATCAGTAAGATTCTTAAATTACGTGGTCTTGGCGTTATAAATGAATGTACAAGAAAACATGGCCAATTTAACTGCACCCCCTCCGCCGCTGACATGGTATTGATGTTCTGTATGGGGTATCCATTTCCCTAAGTTCCTTTTTATTATAATATTCGGAAACACCATTTTGGTCGGACGAACTGAACGGATCCGATTTCTAAGTCTCCGCTCAATATCGACGAGCGGGGACTAAAGTAAAAAGAGACCAAGACTTCAAAAGCATGTTGATTCCGCTGGTTACCTGACTTAATTTACAATATGCTACTATACATTTACAACTATTTAAGAGAAATTCGTAAAACCCTTAAAAAATAGAATTATCCAGTTATCATCGGCAATAGGTTGTGGAAGGTAAAATAGAAAAAAAAACTTCTTATGACTAATTGTGGTTAATTTCGATACTTACTGAGTTCATATATCAACAGGGAATATGTTCACACCGTATAGTTGAGTATACCTTTGAACACACACATGAAAACGGTAAGTCGAAGGTCACTAAAGCTGGAGCACGTGATCATTATCCATGAAAGCCTAATTGAATAATCAATCATTGTTCTGTAGATTTTTTATCAATTAATTACATCTAAATGGTGGCTGTATGTACTCAAAATACAAATCTTAAATTAAATGAAATATAAACCTCACTAACTTCACCTGACCTGTCCTATCTTAATTAACCTGGCGTATTGTTGGTATGCGAGCACACCTGACCAGCGGAATGCAGTGCGACATCTGAAAAGGCTGGCGTTGAGTCGTGAAATCTGACGGTACAGCACCTAATGTTACATACTGTTTTGTGTACTATGTAATGGCTTTACTGTAAATAGATATATAGATAGATAGATCGTTTGGTTACGATTGTACACGTTGTCTTAGAGAAAGAATAAATCCATTAACTGGGATAATTTCCAATAATTAACGGAAATATAAGCAAAACGTTATCCCTTCTTGGTAATAAAGTTAGATGCGTTTTAAGGCTCAGTTGGATGATTGACCCTCTCACACACTCGAGGTATTCAATACATGGAAGCACTTACCATAATCCAGTTGGCCTCGGTCGTCCCTCGCAGCGAATAATAGGACTAAAAAGTCAGTTCTAATAGTAGCCAGCAGTATATCTATACCCTCGCTAGCTTAACCCTTTGGCTGCTGGAGGTTTCCCTAAACTGAATAAAATCTTTTGGCGGCCAGAATATAATAAAGATGTGCTGGAATCGCATCAAAGGGCTTAAACACACTGACCATTCCTGCAGATATTGTATACCTCGCCTTTATTCATCTGTGTTTGGTATGTAATGCCAGGCCGGTGTGGTTGTGCCCAGGAGCGACTAGTAAATTCCATGGTGTGCGTGGTAAGATTAGCTTGAACTAGTTAACGTACTTTATCAAACATATTCCCACACTGTATCACAAACTTACTTCTTTATGCATCTGAGAAATAATTGGTGATTTTTGGTGTTAGAATAGTTTGTAAACATTCGTAATCTCTTGTTATAAATACAGTAAATGACGGTTCACATGCAGGCTCGCCACGAAATTCTTTTCCAAATAGCCAACCTTTTGCTTTAGGGAGGACGGCTTGGTTGACTATCATCCGGACGTCGTTGGTTGTGTCCCACTATGTTGCAAAAGGTGACGACGACGTACCTTAGGTCTGACGTCAAACGATCTTCCTCTTCCAGCATATTTCACTACAGTACAAATGCACTTACTCACTACAGCACAAAGAGACTTCAGACTTACACAGTACGGAATCACTTGACTTATTACAATATAAAGACACTTAGACTCATTACATTACGATAAGACTTAAGACTCTAGTGTGTAAGGCCACTATAACGCGAAGAAACGTTTTATTTTTTACCGTCTCAAGCCTCATCTCCCTGTACAGTGTAAGTTGACCACAACCGAGAGTCAATAAACTATCCGTATCCACTGTCATTAATTCATCCTTACTCATCCTTACAACACGGTCCCGAATATATACCGTGTCTGGTCTACTCCTGTCGCTTAACACAAGTAGTACCTGTTTAACCTTTTCATTATAAATCAGCAGTAGGTAAAAACAAGTCTGGAAATTTCTAGTTAATGGAATCGTGTCGCTTTTGTATCTGCATTTGCACAGTATCCAGGTTTTACGGTTTTACAGGTGTACAGGTGTGTGTGTGTGTGTGTGTCATAAATGCCACATATTCTCAAAAATAAAAAATGAAGTAATTCCAGAGATACAGTTTCATAACAAAAATACGCATACCAAGCACACATTAATAAAGATTCTGTTGTTATTTTTTCCGTTTCTATTTTGATATTATTTTCTTTTACACTGGAACGAATAGAGTGATGTATAAAATGTGTTTCAAGTAAGATAAAGAAAAAAACGCGTTTGTAAGTTTTTTTTTTATTTAAGGCAAAATCATTAGTTTTCTGGTATATTTTTTGACATGAAACAAATTTTAAATCACATGACAATAGTTTGAAAAAGAAAAAGATTTATAAACATGATATTGTTGAATCAATGACTGATGCCTCAGGCGCCTGGCCACATGTTCAGAGTTGGCACGATACTGTGTTTGTGGCGTTAAGATAAAAGCTTTTTCCCTGATGTTAAACAGTTCTGAGATTTGAAACAACATTGCTGAACATGTCTTGCATATATTTTAGGTTATTTTGTAGTTCTTTATTTTGAATTGCACAAGAGAGTGTCTTTTATATAAAGTCATTTTACAGTGTTTTTGAATCATATAAGGAATACTTCGTGTCCTATTGGGGTTACTTTATAACTTTGCGTTTTTATTATATATGCAGCAAAATGTATGTCGTGTACTGTTAAGGGATAAGGCTCTG